AAAACTTGGAAGCAACCAAGATGTCTGTCAGTAATTGATAAACCATGGTATATCCAGACAATGAAATACTATTCAGTGCTACAAAAAAATGAGCTCTCAAGCCATGAAGAGACATGGAAGAATCTTAAATGCATATTTCTAAGTGAAAGAAGTCAATCTGAAAAGGCTACATGTTCCATGACTCCAACTGTATGACATTCTGAAAAAGGCAAAACTATGGAGACAGTAAAACAAAAACAAAACCGTGTGTGTGTGTGTGTGTATCTCAGTGGGTGCCAGGGGCTAGAGAAGAGGGAGGGATGAATAGGGAGAGCACAGAGGATTTGTACCACTGTGGCATGGGATGCCAATAGTGAAGGAGGTTGTGGGAATGGGAAATAGGGGGCATATGGGAACTCCGTACTTTCCACTCAATTTTGCTGTGAACCTGAAACTGCATTCAATAAAGTCTATTAATTTTTTAAATTATTTTTCATATCATTACTATGTGGATAATATATTCTAGATGTACAAGAGGTGACAGAACATGCAGTCTTTCCCAAACTTATTTCAGCGTTTTTGTGGAACACCTTTTAGCATCTCACATGCCTCATAAGCTGCTTATGAGCTGCTGCTTTGAGCCACTCCATTCTCCCCTACCCCCACCTACCATGGCCCTAGTTCAGTTTTTGCCATCTGTCTGCTCCCCTAGGTCTGGTCTTGTTCCCTCAAACACATTGTTCTCCACAATGCAAGGGTGAGCTGCCTAGAACTCAACTCTGACAATGTCACTCCACCATTCATAACACTAAGGCCAAACTCCCTCCTAGAGTATATAGGAAGCACCCATGATCTGGCTTGGCCACACCTCAGTCTCCTCTCTCCCCATACCAACTCACATCAGACCTTACAAACATTGCACTGCTTGTACTTCCCCAAATGAGTTGTGTTCTTGCAGATGTCCTTATCTTTGTTCCGAGGGTACTATCTGTCTGGAATACTCTTCTCCCCACTCCCATCCAACCTGCTGGTTAACTCCTACCTCTCCTTTAGGACTCAGCTCAACGCCCTTATCCTTAGAGAGTTTCCCCTGATTGGGCTAGGAGCCCCTTAGCTCCCATAATCCACCATCTAAGCAATTCTAAGTTTGTTGCCCTGTGAGACTGTGAGCTTCTTAAGAGCAGGAACAATGTCAGATTCATTTTTCCTGATCTGTTCCCAAATTCTAAAAGCTGATGGGCCCCCAAGGCTCAGTCCTCTTCTCGCTATGCTTTCTCCTTAGGTATTTCATCTGATCTCATGGCTTTACATACCATCCATACCCTGATGACTCCCAGACTGATAGCCCCAGCCAAACAATTTCCAACGCAGACATTTACACTTGCTCTATTCTTTTTCCAGATCTCCACATGAGTGACTGCTTATTCAGGTCTCAGTTCAAATGTAACTTTCTGACTACTCATTCTTAGCGGTCCCACACCCACTCTCTCCCCTTAACTTGTCTTACCTTGTATCTGAAATTAAATAGTTTACTTGTTTATTGTCTGTCTCTCCCACCATACCATCCCATGAAATTGGTAAGTATTGATTCATTGCTTTATTCCAGAGCCTATGACAGTATTTGGCACATTGTAAAAACACTTATTAAATACTTGTTGAATGAATTAATGCCCAACATAGGTCTGGCACATAATACTTGTTGACATTCGAAGGCTAAGGGTCCAATACTGTGCAGAATGTACCACAGGAACTGCTTCATTTGACCTTAAATATGACCATTAGCTCCATTTTACACTGAGACCCAAGGGTTCAGTAGCTTGCCCGGGAAGGAACATGAATACTGGCAGCCTGATCCAGAGCTTACTTTCTTCACCACTGCGCTATCCTCTCATTTACCTCTGGAAGTATTTGAAAGATGTTACTCAAAGGAAAGAAGGGAGGGAGGGAGGGAGGGAGGGAGGGAGGGAGGTGGGTCTCAGCTTCTCTATCTGGTGGAGGAGAAAAGGACTTCTAGTTTCGATGTTCTGTGGCTCTAGCAGGAGCAGATATCCACACTTCCCTCAGCTCACAACTCTAGACACCACTGGACAAAGGACAGGGGTCCCCCCTCTGACTGCCTGAGCCTGGTCCCGGTCCTTGGGCATCCCCAGTACAAAATTTTTTAAAACACAGGAAGTGGGTGAACTGCTCCTGGAAAGCAGAAAACCAAGATGCAACTCAACCTCCTCCATGAGTGATACACAGTAACAGCCAAGCAAAGGGTCCTTCCCTGCAATATTTATTAAGGAATTTACACATACACAGGAGAAAGGCAACCAGGAATTGTGGTTCCCACAGGTGAAATCTTTTAAGCAAAGTTTTCTCATTTTAATTTTCAGGTAGGGTGAACAATGACTGACAGGAAAGCTGTCCAGGCTCTCTGCCTCACACACCTGGAGAAGGTGGGGAAACAGAGCAGCCTGGGATACACAGGCATGAAAGAGTGATTGGCAGATTGGGGGGTGGGGAAGGGAGCTATGCATGAGATTGCAATTTTTTTTTTAACCATATGAAAAAATGGCAACAGTTTTAGGCTGTTGATAAATTAACTCCTCTCTGTGTAAACCTAAAACAAAAACAAAACACCCAGAGCAGATGGGGAAAGAGTGGGAGGTGAAACACACACACACACACACAAGCAGTACACACATTAAGCTGTGCATTCCCACTGGAGGGGCTGGTCCTCCAGCCATAGAGCCAGATCCCACAGCAGGTAGGATGGAGGCGGGGCAGGGTGTGTGTTCTTGTGCAGGACCTTTGTAAAGTCTTTGGTGCTAATAAAGGCTGACTGAAGCCATGAGTCCTGAAGCCTCAGGTCCAGAAAGCATTTCAGGGCAAAGTAGAGTAATATTTTTGCTCATCCTCACAGGAGGGGGTTTGCCTCAGCCCAGGGCTAGGGCCAACCTGATCTAAGACCCAAGGAGTATTTAATTTGATTTCAGTACTTTCTTCATTCCCATAAATTATGGGAGCACGATGTCTCCCTCTTCAACCAAAAATTTAAACATGTAGAAATAGCTTAGCAACACATACAGAAGTACCTCTGAACCCTCCCCCCTTTGCCTAAAAGACAACACGTCCAGACCTTTCTGAGAGTCTGATAGGAGGTTTAACCTCAGGGGAAAGGTACTCAAAGGTGTGCACCTTTCTCCCAGTTTAAGTGCCTTCTGCCAACAATTCCTAAGGTGCTGGTACCAGGAGAGGACGGGTTGAGGCTGCAGAGGAAGTCGGGATGGCTAGGGGACACGTACAACATAGAGCAACAGAGAGGTCTGCGTGTCCAGGAAGTGGCTGGGCTGGGCAGAATGCCAAACCCCAAACAACAGATTGAGCAATTTCTAAACCAAACAGAGAGGTAGGAAAAGGGGATGGGATGGGGGAGTTGGGGAAAGAGGAAAACTGGGAGAGAGAGGGTTGATGAGAGTGGTAGCCATACAGGTGTTTTGTTTTTACTTCCACATCTGAGGGCTGAGAGTCTGATTTGCTGCCTGTCCATTTCCGCCGCTCATCGACTGTCCATAGCTCAGCACGCCATGGGCTCCACAGAAGTTCATCCCAGCCATCTGCTGGGTCATCTGAAAGGGAGAGAGGAGACTTTCAGACCAGGCTGTGGGCATGCAGCCAACTACTGCAAAAAGGCAGGGGAGGAGTCCTTCCGTCTGCGGGGAGGGGTTGAATAGGACAAAGGGAAACTGTTATGGTACAGATCTGCCCTGAACCTTAATAGATCATTTTGAGGGCTCCAGACCACGTAAATGCAGGACTTCTCAGAAGGGGGGTGTTGACAGAGACTAATGCTCAGGGAGGGAAAGGAGTCCTGGAGCTAGTCAACATCAAAGCAGCATGAGACGTTATTCTTTTTCCTTTCTAGTCTCTCATCCTAAAAAGAAGGGGCCTACTGTTAACTTGCCAGCCCCGAGAGTATGCAGACGAGCCCCCAGAGCAGCGCTCCTGTCTTATGTCCAGCAGAGTCATTACGGTCAGTGCCACTGAAAGTGGTTGTGCATGCTCAAGCCGAGAGAAAAGGGAAAAGAAACTGGACTGTTTGGAATGAACAAAGGAAGGCAAAAAAAAGGAAAAGAGAAAAAAGACCAACGGGTCTTCGGTGTGTGAGAGGGGAAGTTGCTGGGAGAAAAGAACCAGTAGAACAAGGTCTGGGTGGGGCTGGGGCCTCTTTATGAATGAGACTGAAAGACTGGCCTCTGGCAGTGAAGAGAGGAAACTATTTATCAAGAAAAATGCCTTAAATTTCCTAAGCCCGGGACATTTCTGTGTAAGTTCTTTTTCTTGAGGAGAAGGGCTATTTTTCTCCCACCAACTTTGTTTTTAAGATTTTATTTATTTATTTGACAGACAGAGACACAGTGAGAGAGGGGACACAAGGAGAGGGAGAAGCAGGCTCCCCGGCTGAGCAAGGAGCCTGATACGGGACTCGATCCCAGGACCCTGGGATCATGACCTGAGCCGAAGGCAGACGCTTAATGACGGAGCCACTCAGGCACCCCTGGTAGTCTCTTTCTAAAACCCTTCTCAGGAACAGGGTCCCACTGTGTCCATTGACACACTGGAAATACACACTGGTCAAACTGAAGAAAACTTTGGTGATTTAATTAATTTTGTTGACTTCATTTACAGAAAAAAAATACATATATACACAGACATTTATACAAATAGATACACACACATATTACTGCTTGATCCAGTATGCCCAACATGTCCATTTGAAGAAATAATTTGGAACTGGGAATCACTTGCACCTAAATACAGATCAAGGCAAAGAACTCACTGATGGTTTGCCCTGTCTGTCCCTGACACAAAAGTCTGCTCCATGATATCTCATGGCTTTGATTCAATAACTGGCTTTTTTCTACTTTTTTAAAATGATTTTGGAGTATTTCAGTAGCTCTTCTCAAATTCTTCCCTGGCCTGATTTATAAGCAAATTACTCATTTTGAATAAAGCTTGAAAGATTTATAACCAACCCTAAAGGCATTGATGTCCAAACTTCGGTCCATGTATTTCTTCTTCTCATATTTATCTCGAATAAATCCCTCGACAGCTCTGCAAAAAGCTTATTAAGGATAAATCAAACAAATCTTTCCCACAGTATGACTCTAAAAGGTCGATCTGTATTCAACGGAATGTTGTTCTCCTCTCTCCCTCCTGCCTGGTTTCTCCATATGGCTCCTGTTTCTTCACATGCAGTTTCCCTGACCAAAACCTTAAAATGCTCCCTTCACAGTTACTGCAGGGAATCACCATTTCCTATGATTTTCCTTCAGGATAATGACAGCAGCAAATGGGATTAATCTTCATATTGACATCAGAGGAACCCGTGGCTCTTCTAGAATACAGGTAAAGCAGTCAATTATCTATTTTAAAGCCCTTGGGTCAAAGACCTTAAACAAAGGCACATGAGTGCCCCTTAAAATTATAAGCCCTTGAGCCCCACTACCAGATTCTGATCAGTGTCTCTTCTGCAGTGCCCCAAAACTGCATTTTAACAGGTTCCACCAGTACCCAACAAAAAGCTAACTCTAACAAGACAGTCTACAAACCATATTTTAAGAAGCACTGCCTTTAGGGGGTTTGGTTTTGTGAGTAGGGTGCTATCCCCTGTTGAGGGGATGGGGGAAGAAAGTTATTAACTGGTCAATAACAGTTCATTCTTTCACATAGGACATAGAAAAGGCATTAAAAATGAATGGTAGTTTTGCTGATTCAATACAGCAATCTATTCTTTTTAGCACACAATATTTTCAAAGATCGAAAAACTATCAGACATGTCACTTTATGGGAGAATTCACAGTGAACCACTGCAGTCTTAATTCCTGAATGCGTCTTCCCCATGTGACAGCACCATTCCGATATTAGAAAGTATAAATATGCTTTCTGTATGTGTTGGTGGCAGGAGAGAGAAAAGCAAGACTGACTAAACCACATAGAGATGGCCCGGTCAGATCAAGGGGCTTGAGTCTTGTGTGACTCTCCCAAAACACAAAAATACCAGTTAGCCTTCTAAGTTGCTCCAGAAAAGATACGGGTCTATTTGAGGTCGCCGAAAAGTCTCAGGAAGGTAGGCTTCATAAAGTCGGTTTGCCTTTCCATTCCCCATCTCTTGCATGCACTGCAATCAAAGAGATGTGGAAACATGGAATGTCAGATGAGGAAAGACTCGAAAAACTCGCCCAACTGCAGCATTTTACAATTGAAGAACCAACCTGACAGTGGCAGAACCAAGATCTACGTGCATACTCTGATTTCCGGTCCACAATTCTCTCTACTCTATTGCCAATCATTTGCCTCCACGGTTGTCCTTCCCACCCCCCACCCCCTAGTGCTTTTTATTGAAAAATTTGTCTGACAAGATATATTTAATTCAGTAATAACTCAAGACTCCATTTGAAAGCCCAAGACACATAACTACCAATTAAAATGTCTACTTGATAGGCAATAATCAGTACCTAATCAGGCAGGCAATAATTGAGCAATAACTACAATTCTGAGTTTATACTATTAACTAATCTATTCAGCTTTATCACAAAGAAATGTGTTTCCCATTAGGCCTTTGAAACAGATTCCTTAACGCTTGTGAGGGACAAATCCCAAAATTTTTTAAATCTTCAAATTTCCAAATACCTCCATGGCATGTAATTTCCTTCATAAGATACAGTAAAGTGTAACTGAAAAATACAACTAATCTTTTAGACTTTTAGTGAATCTATAAAAGCAGTCTAAAGTAATTTCTAAAGCCCTTTTCTGGTTAAGAAAACCTCTTATTTCCATCACCAACTTTAGCAACTGTTTTCTTTGGATCCTTTCTTCCCACCCTCAAACCCCCCCAAAAAAGAAAAAAAAGTTTTAATTACTTTTAAAAGTTTTGATGTGGGAAGAGAATAGAGAAGAATGAAGCCACATAGAGGTGCAGATCTTAAGCCAGCTAGACTCGCTAACTTAAGTGTCTTACTCCCAGCCCACCAACCTAACAGCAAGCAAGATTCATACACATATTTTAGCGATAAAATATTATTTCTTTAAGTTGGAGGATTTGTGTGTGTGTGTGCGTGCGTGACTATATAAAACTACAAATGTTAGATCTGCACATGCCAGGGGCCTTAGAAAATAATCCAAAGATCCCCCTTTATACCTTGGGGGTATATCCATGGGGTCCTAGACCATAGACTTTGGGTTTTGAAGGAGGTAACATATGGGTAGAATAACTTATATCTTAAATAGAAAGAGTAAAAATTTCTCTATTAAGGTATAAGAATCTGACATAAGTGTTTCACAACTAAATTTTTCTTTATCTTCACCTTTGTGCCCAGTATGACTGAAATTCATATGGAACTACTCTTACATGGAAATACGGGAGCAGCTGACTCACTGTTGGGCTATGTAAGTACCTGAATCTGTTCTTGAGTCCACTGGTCGAGGTTAACTGATTTTACCCTGGATATGTGCACCCCCAGATTCCTGTGGATTCCAGCACATCGAATGCAGATGAATACACCAATGTTCCAGGAGGCCCATCGTGGCCCTGTGAAAGTGAGGAACAGGGCAATAAAATACAAATTAAAACAACATTCAAGGCCCAAGCTGGAATACTTAGATTATCAGACAACATTTCTGCTAGAACATAAATGAGAGACATGTTACCACATTCACCTTTTTTATTGGTTTTGTTCACTCCTCCATGGATCAGCGCTTTTTTTTTTATTTATGTTTAGCTTAAATTTAAGGGTACAGTACTATGGTTTTTTTAGTATATTCACACAGTTGTGCAACCATTACCACTATTTAATTCCAAAACATTTTTATCCCCCCAAAAAGAAATTGCAAACCCATTAAAAGGCACTCCCCATTTCCTCTCAATTCCTCCCCACCAGTCCCCTGGCAACCACAAATCTCTCTGTCTCTATAGATTTGCCAATTCTCAATATTTCATGTAAGTGGAGTTATACAGTATGTGGGCATGTGTGTATGGAGCAGCTTTTTACAGTGTCCGATAATGTGACTGCTAAAATGCAGATGTTATAATACTGTTACTTGTATAAAAAAAAATCCCAGGAGAATAGTGCAAAGTCATGTCACATTCTATTTAGCATCTTGCATGAATAGCCTTCTCTCAAGAACCTTTTCAATGATTGTGGAGCCTGGATTCAGTTTTCCTACTAGGAAAAAAGATACAGACATGCCATGCCAGCCCAAGTCTCAGCCTGAAATTTAAAACTTTATCTTCCCCTCCCCACCAGGCCTATAAAATATGCATCCTGATTAACTTAATAGGATCCTCTCCCCTTGAGCTGCTGTCCCTAGTTTACCCAACTACAGAATTATCTCGATTCAAGACTGTCAAATAACAAAGATGCTTATTGCAATAAAAAAGAAATCTCAGGTATACATTTTAATACAAAACTGTTACATAATCTCCCATCCCTTGCCAACTTTGTTTATTCTAATAATCACTCCGGAAAATCATCAAACTCCTCTCACAGTTTTTATACAGGAAAAAAACAACTTGCTTTTATATGATACCTGCCAAAAAATTACTGAAAAATCACTAATATTTCCTTCTCCATCATTCCACTAGGCAGAAATTTACCACATAAAATAAGCATGATATCAAAGTTAGAGGTTGCAATATAGTGAAAAGACACCAAATGATTTTTTACAGAGATAAACAGGATCTGTTGGAAGAGCCAAGGGTACCAGACTTCAATTCTGCCAGACACAATTACTTGGTTGGTCTGCAGGTTTTGACAGCCATTTTAATGAAACAATGCTAGAATCATATGGCAGAAAATTATTCTTAGAAATCTGAATTCACGATTATTATTAATAAGAACGTAATTTTCTTAATATCATTCAGATATTATGGCAAATACTGTAAATACAGAAAGCTCAAATGCTCCCTATAACCACCAGGTGGTGTACTCTGCCTGAAATTTTATCCCAGTATCTTCTGATTGCTACTATCCTTTTTTTATTGTTATGTTAATCACCATACATTACATCATTAGTTTTTGATATAGTGTTCCATGATTCATTGTTTGTGCATAACACCCAGTGCTCCATGCAGAACGTGCCCTCCT